ATAAATANGTATAACATATAAATAATGCTTTTTTGTTTATAGGCATCTTCATTTGGAACTTTGTTGTATAGCTCGTAATATAAATGTTTTCTATGGAATGCAAATGACTGTGCAGATGGCATCTTATTTTGNCTTTTTNCTAGGAATATTATATTTTCAATATCGTTCACTGTCATGTCTTACCCACATATATGAGAGCGGAAAAGAAAAATTGTTGGTTGTATGTTTGATTGAAATATGGACCATTTTTGTTTTACTTAAATTTGTAACATTAAATCATATCTGTGAGAGTGTTAGTTCCAAGGTAATATCAATGTCTGTAAATTATTCAAAAATGTAACTTTATTGTNGTCATGTATTATTCAATTTCATTTTTTCTCTTTTATTTCTAAAATATTCTTTGTTTATAATNTACAATTAATTATGTTTTGTATAAATCGGAATATAACAATAATATATAATCAAAAAGAAAGAGAAATATATAGAATACCCCCAAAAATATCAAACCTTCTGAATTAATTTTATATTACATTTATTTAACAATGATGAATAACAATTTGTAATACATGTCTGCAAAAATACATTCATGCTGTATTATATACAACTATGCAANTGANTTTAATTAACAAAAAGTAAATAAAAGCTTCAAAACTCTATGTTTTTTTACAGAATTTTTTACATTATTTTAGGCACAAAAAACCAGAACTGTGATTCATAAATGGACACATCTTATTTATTTTGCGGATATGCATGATACGGTAATATAAATTTNACAATTTNCTTTTGTNAATACTTGTTTTTTTTAAGATCTCTGTTTTATAATAATATGCGTTTTAATACAGATTTATCAGTTTGGTCTGCAAATATTGCTTCACCCACTGAAGTTTAGCGGAATGGGTTTATTTTATTTTGGCTACAAATTTATCCGTTCGGTTAGTGCGTAATATCATTTCAGTACTACAAATAAATCAAGAAATATTAGTTTTAATCGGTCCAGAATTTTAAACAAAAGTATTTATAATAACATTTTCTTTCAGTTCTTTGTCTGGATTGTTACTATGTTTCTTTTAATAATGCAAGAGGACACGTATTCTGTACAACGTATGTCATCTGTAACAAATGTGTCATCGTGTCTTTACTAGAAAATAATTGTATTTGTGAAGTTTCTACATTAAATAATCGGATTAGGCAATACGAGCAATTATACAAGATTTTCGTGTATTGTATTTTTTATTCTTTTATTGTAATTGGTTCAGACGTTTTGATCTATATTCTTTAAGATCTTTTTGTCAGTGATTATCTGTGTACAAATTTATTACTATATAAAATTAAAAAACTTTTTGAATTAAGAAAATTTTAGAAATTATTATCTATATTAAATGTAGATATATATATGTATATGCGCCATATCACCATTCGATGTTCAACTTAAGTTGTGAAACGTATTCTTAATGTATGCACACGATAACTACTGTCACATATAACAACTTTAATGCTATGACGTCTTTCACGTATTTCACAAAACAAAAACTACCGAAAGTACCAAAACAAAAACTACAGTAACTTAGAGATTAAAGATGCACAATTTTCTTTGTTTTTACTTCGCCGCTTTTCAATGTAACTAATTTTCAATGACTTTTCAATGTAACTAATTTTCTTTTTGCGAACTTACTAACCTATTGTTGGAACAAGTTTGTTGACGCTCAAAGACTTTCTTTCTGTAAATTAAAACATTGCGAATATACGAGAATCGACAAAAAAATTCTTTGGATGATCAAAAAATCATCTACAGCCGACAGCCATACAAGAAGTGGCTCCTTCGTTGTGACTTGCCCGGTCAACACCGACACTGATCTTAATGACCGCTCTAAATTTTGTTTTTCATTCAATGGACCTCAACTTACTGATAAGACTCGTGTAAATGAGATACTTATTAAACCTACTTATTTGAATGACTTCAATATAAACAAATAGAAAGAAAAATAGTTTGTTAATCTATCTTCTTGTGACATTCCTGACGCTATCCGTGATCTTCTCTCGCTGGGAGATAAGTTCGCCTTATCTTCCCAATGTATGAGAGGACGGATGTCCTTGGAGATCATAAAGGATGTCGAAAACAACATCAGATTATCTGATCAGACTACCAAATTTCGAATCCGCTCACTGCTTTCTTCGTCACTCAAACACCTTATAGATGAACATCCACATTTAAACAATTTTGAAAGAAATACTATTGAGATTGCGAAGCTTACCAACCATTTTATCAAAGACCATCCAAACATTTTGTTCACCAGAGTTGAGAAGGGCAATATCACAGTGGCTGTCGACAGAGATGATTATATCAAAAAAATGGAACTCATGTTGAGTGACATGGATACGTATATAAAAACCGAAATTAAGAATCCTGCCAAAAGAATTGAGAATAGGTTGAACGAGTGTNTGAGGGCTTGGAAAAATGCGAATTACATCAAGCAAGAACAAATATTANTCTTTGATGTGCAATGATAANTCTCTCTCNAGGNCATACGGACTTCCTAAGATACATAAGCCAAATATTNCATATAGAATTATAGTTTCTTGCACCAACACTACATTATTTAATTTTGCAACTTTTTTACATAGTATTTTATATATGAACTTACCAAAACCTCGTAGTTTTATACTCAACAGTTTTAATCTTTACGGAGGTTTGTTTGGCTTACATATTGGTGATTCTGACGTATTGTTTTCTCTCGATGTTGTCTCACTTTTTACCAACATATTTCTAGATCTAGCATTGATCTCAATAAAGTTTGCTGCTCTACAGTTTGCTTTTAGTTCAAATTAAACAACAGTTCGAAGAGTCCGTTTGAATTTTGCGAAGTTGCATAATTTCGACGAGAGAAAAAAAAATACTTAACATAATTATTGATTGATTATTGTATTGTGTTTAAGATAATGAGAACATTTGTCTCGTACGTTACGTACCCTCTTAAGAGGTTACTGGATACCGACTATAGAGACCTGTAAACCGACTTTCTTCTATGACGTTTGGTGTCGTATTTACTTCATTAAATCTAAAATGCTTCTACAAAAATAAGTAAATTGTGCTAAGGATTGGCGCTTCTTTGGAATGTCAAAATTCAGCATAAATTTTTTCTTATACAGTTTCTTTTTATAACCTCACTATATATATTCATGTATGTAGAATTATTTCTAAGCTTATGTACATATTTACAATGAACAAGCGCCACAGATACGACAAAAACGAATCTAATGAGACATTCAGATTATGGTATGACTATCTAATCGATGAGAACAACGTCTTAGTGTGATGACAGTATAGGTTATCATATGCTATCATTATGAATAAAAAAAAAGAGTTTCAAAAGGCATTATATATATATATTTTCAAAAGCACTAAATAGTTGTTTATAAGTATTTGCTTCTATAGAAGCACTTTTTATGTAATGCAGTAATGAAACTTAAAAATCAGTGAAATTTAGGTTTTTAAAAAACGTCGGTTTACAGGTCTTTATCCAGTTTACAGGCCGGGCTCCAGTACCCTCTTAAGAGAATACTGGATACCGACTATAGAGAGCTGTAAACCGACGTTTCTTTTTTCACGTTCTGAGTCGTATTTACTGCATCAAATTGAAAACGCTTCTCTAGAAATAAGTAAATTGTTCTAAGACAGTGCGCTAACTCTTTGGAATGTCAAACTTCAACAAAAAGTTTTTCTTATACAGTTTCTTTCTATAACCTCACCATATATTTATGTATGTAGAATTCTTTGTAAGCTTATGTACATATTTACACTGTGTTAGCGCACTAAGTACGACACCAACGAATCTAATGACACATTTTGATTATGATTTAACCATCTAATTGATGAGCAAAACGCGAAAAATGTGATGATGTTATCTGATACCATATACTGTCATTATAAATGAAAAAAAAGTTCAAAAAAACATTATATATCCATTTTCAAAAGCTTTATATAATTTTGTATATTTATTTGCTTCTGTAGAAACGCTTTTAATGTTGTGCAGTAAATAAAATTAAAAAATAAAGAAATTTAGGTTATAAAAACGTCGGTTTACAGGTCTCTATAGTCGGTGACGTAAATTTTTATGCATGCAGAGTTCAATTTTGCTGAGATCACATTTTTTACATCACCCTATAAAATATTTAAGCTCGCGCGCTAAACAAACAAAATACTTTACAGCCAAAATGTACGGATCCGTGTACATAACTATGGCCCATCCTGCCGTCCATCGTGGCGATTCTCACTAGCGCGAATCAAACGCAAGTGTACGGCTTGCTGTATCACGTGGAGGCTGTTCTTGACGTGGAGAAATATTATCACATCATCTTGCTGCACTCGTATTACACCATCTTTTTTCTGATGACTGCCTCGGTAGTGGCGGACTCTATGCTGATAGCGTATGTGCAATCAGCCGTGGCTAGTCGCGTATCTTCGCAATGAGAGGCACGAGGCCCGAGAAAG